GACGAGGCGAGACCTTGACCGACGCTGCCATCATTTATAACTGATTTATATCCTATTGATAATGATATTGATAGTGGTGACGATGTTGGTTAGTGTCATAGAGTTTCAATGCCAGATTCATTGGACACTATCGGAATAGAATTGACCAGATATTCATGATCAGTGAACGAGATTTACGAAAAGGTGTTTTATTGACGATAGAGGAGAATATATTTATGGGTTAATTGAGATGTTTGGGCGATAGATCTGTCTATTTGATATATTTATTCATCATTTATTCATTGGGAGTAAATCACTTCATGAATTGCCTATGTCGAAGATAAATTACCTACGGGTTTGATTGATGGATCGACTTTATAATATAATCAGCGCATTTCGAATATCTCTCACAATTATAATAGTTTTGTTCACATCAAAATACTCTTCCTTTTGTTTAATCAGTAATTGCTATTATTCAGTAATTTAACCTTTTTGTTTGATTGATATTTGACATTATTACAGTTTTTTGACATTTTGAGATTTGACGTTTTTGACATTTGACATTTGACATTTTTGACATTTGACATATTTGATATTTGACATTATAACCGATAACCATTACANTATATTATGAAAAAATTATTATGTTGTGGAGAGATGTTGCCTTCATTTTGAGCATTAAAAATGCGAGGATTTATAGCAGAATGAATTCAGTGAAGCATTGGAAACGAGATCAGATTTAAGATGAAAGAAGACTTGTACTGGAAGAAAAGATAAATTTCAGGATGAATTGGAAGTGGTACTGAAATTCAAAAGCGATTCGTGGGCTGGTATCGGATGGAGACCGGTGAACGCATCGAATTCATGTCCAGCTTTGAGTTCCCTCGGGTTCAGCAGGGGGAAATTGGGTGCTGCTTCTGAGAACACAAAACAGATTGCTGATAGAATCGATGAAGAGGATGCGCTCAGGAAGCCACTCAAATCATCACTTCCCATTGAACCAATCATCAAAAATAAATCTTCTGCTGCTGGTAAATTGTTTGATATTTGGGATCCCTTTTAAAAGATTTCGTATGGATGTTTCAGTGCAGAAATCAACTTTAACCACGATTCATCCGTATGTAATCGTTTTCTAAAACGTATAATCGTTTGCTCCGTTTCATTAAATTTTAATCGAATAGATTGAAGCAGTGGTTCTGAGTTCTGATTAAGTCAGAGTGCGTTTTTAGGTGTTTGTGGAGTGAATGAGGAGTACACCGAGTGTCCTGAGTTCACCAGGCAATGTGAAGCGTCTTGCGATTGGACACGTTATCCGGAAACAATTCCGAATTGTCCACGGACTTGTGGTACTCCGAAATGTATCTGCAAAGAGGGTTTCGTACGTGTCTCGAACGAGAACGATACTTGTGTACCGTTCCATTTCTGTTCCGATGAGGTAATCAACTTCCATCGTTTTTATCTTTCAAACTCAAATTTTCCGTGTTGAAACTTTCATGTTTTTCTCATATTTGCTAATTAGCGACATTAACATTTCGTTAGATCCGTAAGGAAATTCCATTGAGAAAATCCATCTTAAAGAAAATCCTTCATTAGATTGCATTGGGCTATTATGAGATTTTTGTGCAAAATAATGCGAATTTACGCGAAAGTTTGTTGGTAGTGTCATATTTGTTGAAGAGGCGACCAACTGCGCGCATTGATGTCAATCAACGATTGATAGATAAAGTAATCTGCAATCACCGTTGTTTTTGAATATGATAAGAAAAATGTTCAGTTGCAAGATAAAGATAGTAAGATAAATACTGATAAGATAAAAGGACTGATCAATGACAAGATAGGATTGGTGAGGTAAAATAAGTGATAAATAAAAATTTTAGACTGCAGATCTTGAAGGGTTGAAGTTGAGATATTGATAAGACAAATATGTAACTACAAACCTTCCTATAAAATCTCGCCTTATATCAGTTGAATTCATGGAGTTTGGAATCGTCAATTGATGTATCGGCTAACTTTAATTGAAAATTTTTGAATTCTTAGGTGGAAGTTGAGTGTGCGGCCAATTCGNGCACATGCGCTGATAACTACGTTCGTTATAAAGGCGAATGCATCTTCTGGGGCGATTGTCCAAGTTTGTTTCTTTGAATTGAAGTCATTCATTCATTTCTTTGCTCCGATTCTAAGATTCTCATTTGATTGCATTGTGAAGAATACGAGTTATTCATTTGGATATTTGATCCATTTTCCGTCATCAATTGCAAATTATTACTATGAAATGAGAACCTTATTGAATTCAATTAATTTAGATGCTGTATAGTATATCGGTGATCGAACATTCACCATGCAGAATATTGATGATAGTTTTAGATTCATATTTGGTAATATTGACAGCTGATTGTGAGGATTTGATGGACTTTTGACTTTTGATAATGCCTTCAATTGAAGGTGAATATTTTAATTTTAGATCTCGAAGAGCATTGGGCTGTCGAGCAGGCGACTGCTAATGAAACAGCGCTGAGCACAACCACTGAGGAAACAACACCTCAGGAGGCAGCAACAACTTCAGATAGTCGATCATCACGTACCGCTGAAATCTCGACCAACCGAGCAGCAGCTAGTCGAGNTACTTGATTCACTAAATTTGCATTTCATTCGATACTGAACGTGTGTTCCTTTCGCATTATTCTGTAACACATTGTGTGTTCTTCATTCACCATATTTTTGTGTCTTTGTAAAAAGTTTCCGTTTGATAATTGATACTGGCGGAGTCTCTTCGTTAGAAATATAGCATGAACCAATTAGTAAGTATTCTGATAAACTCGTCGCAGAAAATAACCATTATCTGAATTAATGATTATTCAGATAATTGAGTTTTTCGAAAGTTTATACAAAAGTTAACAGATTTGTATCGATTACTCAGAGAAATTCGATGCGACAAGTTTATCAGAATACTTACTAATTGGTGTATTCATATACGATCATATCAGATTATTTAATGGACATTTCAAGAGCGCATTTAATGCAAATTCTTGAAGGTATTCTCGAGAGCGCCGTGTGCTGCCTGTGCTAAACCGTCGTGTGCATGTCTCGAAGGATATGCTCGTATGAAGGATAAATGCATCTTCTGGGGCGATTGTCCATGTGAGTCATTTTCATGTTATTTTTTTCTGATTTATTTTATCCGATCAGTCATTTTTATTTGATTTTGACTTCGCTTTTTATTTTACACACCTCCATGCTTATATAGTTGATCTCGGTTGATTTTTGCTTACTTTTTCGTTTAACTGGTAGTAATAATGATTCCTCATAATTCATATCTTTAATAATGCATACTGCCTTGCTGTTGATTCTAATTACTGATAAGAGCAGTATAGTGATAATAGATAGTAATATAATAATAGATATAAATCACTAGTAATATAATAAATCATCATACTTATGATAAAGGCAATAGTGATAGTAATAATGGCAAGAATAATAAGCTAACCATGAAGGAGATATATTATGAGGATTTTGCTACAATGCATCAAGCAAGCCAATGCCGTACAAGTTTAGGTTGAGACCGAATGAATGATGCCGAGATTTCAGCCAGAATCTGCAAATATTCATCAAAATAATTATTTTGATGAAAAGTGCTCTTTCAGCGAGTGCATCGAGTGCAACTGCAAAACCGAAACACACAACAACTCATAGTCCATCAGAGGCCATCGAAGATATCTCTGTAATTGAACCACAAATCGACGAAGTGCGATCGGATGCAGTCGTCGACAGCAGCAGTAAACCAGCCTTCCCACCGATCCGAGCGTCTGCAGTCAAATCTGCGTATCCACAACAATCCGGCAAACAACAAACGCAAAGACCCGCAGCACTCACGTCGCATAACTTACTGAATTCAACTGATAAAGAGTCCAGTAAGTGACAGTCACTTCATTGATTTGCACGCTTACGATTAGTTTATAGGGCAGTCATATTCAGACTTTTTAAAATAAGCCTGAATATTGTTTGTGATAGCAGTACGCTAAGTATTTATTCGCTTCATATTTGTTTAATTCATAAATTTCTAAGAATTGTTCCGAAATTTGTTTCAGTCCGACAGGAAACACAAAAAGAAACAAAGAAAAAGATTATGCTTTTGTATAACTTTTTCTTTAAATTATAGCTGGAAAGCTTGTCTTGATTATTCATCACATTATTTGTTAAGATGAACTCAGTATCGTGTAAAAGTCAAGAATTTTTTTATTGTACACGCAGAAATATCGAAGATTCTGAATTGTATTTACAGGAATGTTTTTTTTTTCATTTTTGAAACGGTTTCACTGGTTGTCGTTGAAATAATTGCAAATTTTGAATCATTTGTAGATGTGGTTGGTGATGTATGTTACGGTGACTGGCGATGGCCGGTTGGTTGTCGAGACTGTGACTATCGGGTGTCGTGGAACTATTTGGATGATACTGATGAAATTGAGTTCTCGGTCGAGACAAGAGCACCGTCGAATTGGTGGACTGGTATTGGCTTCTCACCCACTGGAACTATGGTGAGTAAGTTGACTGAGCGATTTGTTCGCTTATTTCTTCACAACAGCACATGTGAACGGAATGCTTCGAGTTGATGTATTGATGTATCAAAACGTTTAATGGTTCAGTTACCTCAAAGTTGGGTAAACCTCAAAGTTGAGTAAACCTCAAAGTTGGG